AAAACTTGTTATGATCATAGCACTCTTTGGTGCTAGCTACCAAAATTTTGAAATGATTGTCCTTTAAAATTGAGCCACTTGGCGGCAAGTAAAATAAAAGCCTGACTCGATCTTGTTGAACAGCAGGAAGTCTGTTATCTTTATTATCAACAAGGCCAAAGGTAGGGCTGGTGCCGAGAATGACAGGCCAGGGCTCCCTTTCTCTGCAGTTTTCTGCAACTCCATCTGTGGACTCCATCTTCAGACTGGAGCAAGACTGGTGAAGTCCCAGGAATCATGTCCAGGCCTTCAAATATATAAAGGCTGAAAAAGACCTTCTTTTCCCATGTCTCCTTTTTTGAGGAAGAGTTAAATCTTTCTCAGAAATAACATAGCTGACTCTTCCTTACAGCCCATTGTCTAGCATTAGGTTTCAGGCCCATGACAGAGACCTCGAGTTACTTCTGAATATCCATTCTCTCTGCTTTCTTTAATAATATTGTTCTGATTTTATCTGGACATATGGCTAGCCAGCTAAAAGATTGTATTTCCTTGCTTCCCTGGCATCTATATTCAGCCATATGACTAAGTTCTAGTCAATTGAATGTAAGTAAAAATGTTATGTAGAACTTTTGGGAAGTATCCTTAAAAGGGAGGCAGCATCCTCTTTTATGGCTCTTCCATTCTGATTTCTGGAAAGCAATCAAAATGGTTGAAGCTTTCACGGTCATCTTGGATCCTCAAAGAGCTGGTGGAACAAAAAGCTGGAAGAAGCCCGGGTCCCTGATGATTTTAGGGACTTGCAATTACAAGTAATGGGCTGCCCACCTCCAGTTACATAGGAAAAGCTTGTGTGTTCAATTCACTTTTAATTTGGGTTTTCATTAACCTCTGGTGAACTTAATCCTGACCGATGCACATGCCCATTCCTAAATCAATCATTGGCCAGAGGAAATGTTACCACCTGACTGGGGGCAAATGGATTTGGGGGAGGCAAATAATCATATTAAATATTTATTTACTTAAATACATATTAAACATTTATATTAAAAACAAATTACTATGGGGGGCCTGGGCGTCACAGTCAATTAAGCGTCTGACTCTTGGTTTCGGCTCAGGTCGTGAGCTTGAGGTCGTGGGATCGAGCCCCGCATCAGGCTCTGGGCTCAGTGTGGCGTCTGCTTCAGATTCTCCCTCCCACTGACTCTCTCTCTTTCTCAAATAACTATAATCTTTTAAAAAAATAAAATAAAAATAAATTACAATAGGGAGGCAGTCTTCTGAATATCTACATACAAAGCCACCTTATTGTAAGCGCTGTAGTATCTTAGTTACAAACTTAAATGATTATTTCCTGTGAAGTGCAGAGGAACCTTACTTCCATTTAGATTCTAATGGGTATTCTGATAACTTCTATTAATTTTCATGAAAAATTCTCAGCTGTGCTCTCAAAGGATTGAGAAAACTTCAAACCTCAAAATGCAAGGTTTGGTTTTTTAGTTGATAAACTTTTATATAATTTTAACACATATGAGTTTACTAATGAAAACATTATTTTAGGGATGCCTGGGTGGCTCAGTTGGTTAAGCATCTGCCTTCGGTTCAGGTCATGATCCCAGGGTCCTAGGATCGAGTCCCGCATTGGGCTCCTTGCTCAGCAGGGAACCTGCTTCTCCCTCTACCTGCCACTGTCTCTCTCTCAAGCAGAATAAACAAATTATTGAAAACAAACAAAAAACAACAAAAAAGGAAATATTCTTTTAGCATGTTTACTATTCCACTGAATGTGAATTTCAAATCTAGTATCTTTAGTCCTTTCCTTAGATACCTTCCAGTTTTAGACTTTTGGGTTTGATTTGTTAAATAGACCATTTTCTAATTCCTTCAACACCAAGTTGTATAGCAAGTTCTGGTCTTGGTTGGGAGAATGGAATAGAACTTTTCATTTTAACATCTCTCTTCAAGAAACTATTTTCATTTACAAGTGATTCACAACCCACATTTCCAATTCCTTTAGTTTCTTTCAACTCTAAAACTCAAGATGAAATTACAAAGAGCCTAAGCTATCATGAGGACACCATATGATCTAAGCTCTGCGATTTCTCACTGTGGTCCCAGAATTCCACCCCAATCAGGGTGTAGTGTTTGGGAAACTAGAAGTGCTCAGGCTGTAAGGTAAGAGTACTCTAATTCATTCACTGGACATAATTAACACAACCACCAGTAGCAGAAGACTTGTTCAGAGCCCAACTTTGTGCTTAACTAACTTTACTGCTTTAGACCAGATACTCGTATCACCTTTTCGAGCATCAGTTCCCTCATGTATAAAATAAAGGCCTTGATTACAAGATCTTTGAGTCTCCAATTTGTGCTGTGCTAGGATGCCTGGGTGGCTCAGTTGGTCAAGTGTCTGGCTTCGGCTCAGCTCCTGAGCCCAGGGTCCTGGGATCGAGCCCCACATCGGGTTCCCTGCTCAGCGGGGAGTCTGCTTCTCCTTCTACCCCTACCCCCCTGCTTGTGATCTCTCTCTCTCCCAAACTCTCTTTCAAATAAATAAATAAAATCTTTAAAAATAAATAAAATCCCCAAGAAGCAGAAATATTTCTTCTCTACCCAAAAGCCAGTTCCTGGGCTTAATGATTCTGTGAGGCAGAATCATTAAGTTTTCTTTTCTTGTTTCCAGCTTTATTGAGGTATAAATGGCAAATGAAATGATATATATTTAAAGTGTACAACGTGATTTGATATACATTGTGAAATGATTACCACAATCAAGTTAACATATCCATCGATGAAGCAGTTTTTTAAATAAAGAAGATATGACTGTCTCCAGTCCGGTCTTCTCTAGAATTCAAGGATAATCCACCAGCACTCTTCTTCTATTAACCCTTCACAAATTTTAAGCCGGTAAATCACCATTCACCAGTCTTTTCCTTAGTGAATGATCAAAGCTCAGCCATTCATGTACTACCTTCATGGTCTTGGCCTCATCTTTCTGCTTCTTGGTTATTATGTTCTCTATGTTCCTTGTTACTTAATTTTGAAGAGAGTTTGTATATAATCACGGCTTGATGAGAACTATATATGAGGATTGTATCAGTCTTGCTTGGCAAAAATAGAGGTTAACTGTGGGGGAAAAAAAGACCCAGAAACACTGATTTTTAAAATAAGCAAGTAAAGACTTCATGAATAAGGCAACGAGCCTCATTTGGTATGACACATTTCTTGTAGTAACTCCCCATGACTTCCTCCTTTTTGTGCACCAGCAATATTAGTAACTTCATGAAACATTTCTGCTGAATCTTCATGCACTTTACAGGTGGGAGGATTTTCCAAGGTATAGGGTGGTGAGTAATGGTGGAGTTCTACCTGAAATCATCCACTACCTCAATTGGAGAAACATGTCTCTAGAGCACGATCAATAGTTTCTTTTACCTTTATTTAGAATAGTTTTCAAACCCTAGCAAGCCTAAGAATCACCTGAGGCTCTGGCTAAAATGCTCCTTTCTGGGCCTTGCCCTGGTCTAGACTAGAGCCTAGGAGTTTGCATTGTAAAACAACTTCCCAGATGATTGCAATGCAGGCAGTTTTCAGACCCTAACTTTGAGAAACATGTGATAAGGCTTTCTTTAGTCTAATATGTATTGACTCATTCTTCAATAACTTGAGCACTTTTCAGGTGCCCCTGGTAGGAGGCAAAGGGGCAAAGGGATGTGCCAAGACTCAAGATTCAGTATTCATGTCTCCAGGCAGTATATGACTGTCAGATGAAACATACTTACAATATCTCTCTAGGAGTTCAGGGCTGGGAAGGCTGAGGTGAGCCGAAGCTGTGGGAAGTCTTTGTGGATCCAGACTGGAAGGACCTGGTGATTCCCTCCCTCCCCCACCCTCACCCCCGAGGAAGGAGGGTGAAATCAGAGGGGTTCTGGAAGTTAGGTCAGTCGGGAGCTGAAGTTCCCGGTGCAAAGGCTGCAAAGGTCAGTTAAAGTGTAGGCACTTTATCCTAGGGCGGTCAGCTGTTACTAAAGGTCTGCGTAGGGACATGAGGATAGCTTTGTCTTAAGGGAGAGTAATAACCTGGGGTTGATGTTCAGGATGGATTGAATCTGGCAGTGCCAAAGGCACAACAATCATTAAACTTACGGAGGGTGCGTGCCTGGGAATGGAAAGAAAGCTGAGTGGTGAGATTAACAAAACACTGGATTTATCTGTAGGGGTGGGGATGAGAAGGTACCCAAGATGGACCGATGAGAACACTTTTAAAAGACTAGGCACAGCGGGAATCCTAAACAATTCAGCTTCGTAAAAGCCAGTTCGTAAAATCCTAAACAATTCCTTCGTAAAAAGGGAACCTCTTGAACAGGCAGAGGATCTGTTTGTGCCAAGATTGTTAACCCTTTCCAGTGTCTCCGTATCTCTCAAAATAGAACCGTCTTCCCACGCTCGCTCCCTGCTGCTACCTAAACACTGCTAATGACACATCATCTCCCTGAAGCTGGGTCCAGTAGGCCCAAGATGCTGCAGGCTTCTGCCCCTGCGATGAACTGGAACCTTCACCTCGCTAAAATACCTCTGTCTTGTCAAGTGGTTTCCAACCACTTTGGAAGCACCCAAAGATTAAACAAAAAGAAGAAAAGTAAGCCTAGCGCCCACATCTAACGTGCAGCACAGATTAGAAACCACTGGTTTAGCGACATCTCCACGGCCCCTTAAAAACAAATCCTTCCACTCGCCTGCCCTCCGCCGGAAGGACGCACGTGGAAGGTTCGGGGCCGAGTGGGCCGGTCGCCGCGCCGCAGTCCCCTTCCCCCCAGCTAGCCCGGCGTGCCCAGCTCGCGGCAGGCCCGGAGGAGGCGGCGCCCCGGGCTCCCCGGGCCGGGCCGCAGCAGAACTGAAAGCGGCGGGCGCGGGGAGGCGGGGGAGAGGAAGGAGGGGCGGGCGCCGGGGGAGAAGGGCGAGGTGGCGCGCGGAGGGCCGGGAATGCCCGCGGCGCGGGGCCCGAGCCGCCCGGTGGCCGCGTCCGGGCGATGGCTCTCCGTCTGGTCTCCGACTTCGACCTCCGGAAGGACGTGCTCCCGTGGCTGCGGTCGCAGCGGGCGGCGTCAGCGGCCGCCGGGGCCCGAGGCGGCGGCCCAGGTGCTGGAGGCGCGCGTCCGGGCGGGGGGGCAGGTGGGAGCCGGCGAGGGGGTGGAGTCTGAGTCGTTCCTAGCTCGAGGGCCCCCAGGCCGGGCCGAGGTCGGGGGCATCGAGCGGAGGGGGAGCCGCCCGCGGCCCCTGCCAACCTGTGAAGGTTGGTGCGGAAGGGGTGAGCTTCTCGCTCTCGAGTCCGGGCTTTGCCTCCCTCACCTCCGGCCACTGGGTGAAGGTCAGAGGGGCAGCTCGGGGCATGGTCGTGGCTGGACTGCACTGCTTCTTCTAGCGAGTCCCCCAGCTTCTGGCTCACTTGTTGCCCAGTGGTTCACCTTTAACAGGAGGGCCAGGGACACTAGTGGTACCTCAGCATCGTCTCATCAGGGCAAGGCGTGGAGGAGCACCTGCCAAGACCGCGTTCCTCTAGCCCAGCGCTGCAAGGAGTGGGACAGAGGCTTCTCTATGCTTCATTCACATCTATCTCACCTGCCTGGGAGGGTTCATCACCCCTGTAGGGGCTCTGCCAAGACTGGGGCTCCTGAAAGTTGTTGCGTTATGAGAAAAGATGAATCATGGCCACCAAAAAAACCACCATAAAAATACCTAACAGTTGCGCAGTTTGTCTTCACATTTGTGAGATGTTTCTGTGTGAATAGTGTTCACAGTGTTCATGACTTAGGGGACATGCCCCTTGAGATGTGAAGTGCGAGAGGGCAGGGGTCTGCTTTCAGGCTGTGAGCAGTGAACTAGAGCCTGCTGTTTTCCAAAGAGGCACCAAGCGCATTGCCACCAACCCAGAGCATAGCAGCACCTGTCCCCGCTAGCGGGATTGGGCTGTGAGACGGTGACGGTCAGGTTTGCTGTCCAGCTTCCTCAGGATCAATGAGAATACTTCCTTCACGGTTGAGGCTTTGCTTTTCATCTGTCTCAAAAATCCTTTGTTTTGGTTTTGATGAAGGAGAGAAAAGTGACTTTTGAGCCTTTCTAGCATTGATCAATCAAAACTTCAAAGAAGAGGAACTCGGTGATTTCTCACATTTTTTTTTTCTTTTTAAGAAGGTTACTGTAAATAATGATCCATCCTCAAGGCTTAAATTCAGCTTCAAAGCTATCATACCCTGGATCCCACCTTGTTCATAGGAGCTATTCACTTCAGTGTGTTTGCGCCCCCTTCCCCACCTCTGTGTTTTTCCTTAAACACTGTAGACTGCTGGAGGGTGTTTTTTAGAAGGGTTATCCTCATATCTACAATTTCTTCCCCCTTAACTCTGATGAAAGTTTTCTCTCCCTACCTTATATCTTCACATGATCCTGTGGCTTTAGCAGAATTATTTGTGGGGTAGCTTGTCTTGCCATGTTGGTTATTAGTTCCAAATAAGGAGTCATGTTTGTGTAGCTCAAGGCTTGAGTTTGCTGAGGTGTCATTATTAGTAAAGTTTTGCTTTTTTGGAAAAAATTAAAGTCTCCTAAAGAGGTTTTGAAGGTTTCAGTTTTTAAAATACAATAGGCAGCTCGATGCCTGCTTTCCACCACAGAGTAGTCCTTTCCCTGAGTCTTCACACCATAGAGCTAAATGGCAGGTGTCTGCAAATGAAAAGCTAGGGGAAGTGTGAAATGCCACAGTCTTATGTTTCAGTAATGTGTGTTGTGATTGAAAAGCTGTATGTGAACCAGCTAGGCCTTAGCTTCCCGTGCCTTTTTCACTCATCTGTGAAGAGACATAAACTTGTGTATTGACATTCCACTAAGCAACAGATGAACTTAGGTCCTCAGAAGGTAAACCTACTAGAAATACCAGCTTTTTCTAATATTGGTAGTATTTCGCTCTTGCAGAGCACCTTGGCAAGATCATTAGCCCCCTTATGCTAAGAGAATTTTTACTCCTGATGATCACCAGTGGGTAGTAGCTCAAAAAAACACGGTTAATTCCTCTTCTATAATTTGTAGCACTGGCAGGGGAATGTGGGGTTCTATTTTATTTCTAGCATGGCTATTACTCCGCACATTTGGCAAATTATTTTCCTTTCAAAGTCTCAGCTTTTCAAATGTAAATTATAAGTAATTATACCATTGTAATGTCTCCTCTCTGCACACTTGCTGTCTAGATTTAAAGCCTTAATATTTTCACATCAACAAATACAATTGAAGATTTCTTAGTGGTGCTAAGTAATACTAAGTATGACATATTCCTGGCAAAATAGCCAGGGAGCTGAGCTAAGTTAGCCATGGAAATTCAGTGCCTGTGGGATAGTATTTTAGTCAACCAGGGGTTAAAGAGTAAGGAGACCAGATTTGGTTACTACATATGCTTCTGGTTCTGGATTGAACTTTTGGAAAATAATCTCTCCTGAAATAAATGGAAAAAAGCATTTCTTTTAAAAACTAAAACAATTATACCAAAGAATATTTTAGCACATGTAACCTATAAATAACAAAAAACTAAACCACACACCCACCTTAAAAAATAGAACAATATCAGGGGCACCTGGGTGGCTCAGTCGGTCGAGCGTGTGACTCTTAATTTCAGCTCAGGTCATGATCTCAGGGTCGTGATATCGAGACTCACGTTAGGCTCCACACTCAGTGCCGAGTCTCCTTGAGTTTCTTTCCCTCTGCCCCCCTCACCACTTGTGCACACACATACTCTCTCACTCTCAAATAAGTAAACCTTAAAAAAAAAAAAAAAACAGTATCAAGACTTTTGAAGGCTCTTGTGTTTCCTGATCTATCCTCTTTCTCTATCCCTCATCTCCTAGTGGTAACAACCATTTAAACTTTGATCTTATTTGCAGTTTTAACCTATATGTATATCTCCCTATGCAAAATATCATTTCATTTTGCTTGTTTGTGAACTTTTTTTAAGATTTTGTTTATTTATTTGACAGCGAGAGAGGGAACACAAGCAGGGGGAGTGGGAGAGGGAGAAGCAGGCTCCCCACCAAGTAGGGAGCCTGATGCGGGGCTCGATCCCAGGACCCTGGAATCATGACCTGAGCGGAAGGCAGACGCTTAACGGCTGAGCCACCCAGGCGCCCCTTGTTTGTGAACTTTAAATGAAAGAATATTATATGTATTCTTTTTTGCTTTTTTTTTTCTTCTCAGTATCCACATTGACTGCTATAGGTCATTGACTTTCACTGATGTATAGTATTCCATTGTGTGAATGTACAACAGTATGGTGGACATGGAGATGTACCGCTTAGATCTTCCTTTCAAGGAAAAGCTTGTCCCAAGGGTTGTGAGGGTGGTCAGTAGATAAGCTTCAGCTGTCAGCCCCTTCAGGGATTGCCTCCATGGAGGACTTCCTTGCCCAGTGTCAGGACATTTTGAGTGTGGCCCACATTTAATTAGGGATTGAGGTGGGGTATCACGGCCTGGCCATTTTGACTCAACACAGGACAACTTTGACGGTCTATTTTAGTATGAGAGCCTCTCCCCTGGGGGATTCCAAAGTTACCTGACATTGCTGCAGCTTGACTTCTCCCCCTTCGTGGTCCTACTTCCTTCCCCTCCCTCCTCCAGGTGTTAATCCCACTTCACTGAACATTCCCTGGTAAATATCCTGGATACTAAGCTGTCTCAGGGTGCTTCCTGACTTTACTTATCCTTTTTGGAGTGATGGCATTTGGGAAGTTTCTGGGGTTTGCTCGTATCATCAATCCTTTTGCTCACTTTCTTGTGCATGATGGATGTCTAACTGGAGTTGCTGTGTCCTAGGCTGTGTACGTCTTCACTTTTCCTGGAGAGTGCCGAATTGTTTTCCAAACCAGCTGTACTTATTAACAACCCCATTTGTGGTATAGAAATGTTTTTTGTACTCCGTATCTTCACAAGCTCTTGATATTTCCAGATGTTTAATTTTTTGTTGAACTGGTGAGTCTAAATGTTATTTCACTGTGGTCTGAGGTTTAGCATCTTTCTATATTTATCGACCTTTCAAGTTTCCCCTTTTATGAGATGTCTGTTCATCCTGTCCATTTTTCTATTGTATTTTTTTCATATTGATTTTTAAGGGTTCTTTATTCTGGATTCTAATCCTTTGTTTGTCATATATGTTGCAGATATTTCCTCTCACACTGTTTTTTTCAGTTTGCAATGGGGTTTTTAATTTTAATGTGGTCTAATTTATGAGTCTTCTCCTTTTTGGTTTGTGCTTTTTTTGATATTTTAAAGAAATCCTTTCCTATCTAGGAGTCACAAAGACATCTTTAAATTAACTTCTAAAAGTTTTGCTCTTTGCATTTTGTTTTTTAATCCATCTGGAATTTATTTTTGTATGTGATATGAGGTAGGATTCGGGGACACAAGAGCCTTTAAAAGTCTTGATATTGTTCTGTTTTTAAGGTCGGTTGCTGGTAAATGGTTTTGCTTCGTTGTTTTGTATAAGCTTACATGTGTTAAAATATTCTTTGGTAAATTGTATTGGTGTTCTATATTAATAGTTCTCATATCACTAACCAAATAGCCCTACTTCTTCTCATTGACAGCAAAGCCACTTCCACCACATATCAAGTTTCCACATATGTGTGGGTCTCCTTTCCTGGGTTCTTAATTTTGTTCCTTTTGTCAACTTAAGATGAAAACATCTTAATAACTGTCTTTATGAAAGTCTTAAAATCTGGTAGAGTAAGCCTCCTCACCTTGGCAGTCTTCGGCACCATTTTGGCTATCCTATGCCCTTTGGTCTCTCATATATATATATTTTGGAATCTGCCTATCAGATTTCACCAAAAAGTCGGTTGGAATTTTGAGTTGCATTGAATCTGTACATCAGCTTTGGAGAATTGGCATCTTTGCAATATTAAATCTTACAGCTATGAACCAAGTATAATTTATATTTAGTTAGATCCTCTTTATGACTCTTAGTAAGTCTTAGAATTTCTTCCATAAACGTCCTGCACACTTTTTGCTAGCTTTATTTCTAGGTTGTTGTTATTTTATGTTGCTTCCATAAATGGCACAATTAAAAACATGACATGTTCTAGCTATTATTGGTACATAGCAAT